CATATGGTCTCTCAACAAGCTGCCATGTGTTGTTCTTCTCAATCATGTCCAATTCAGTTTTCATTGCACTCCTCCATGAATCATCTTTAGCTGCATCCTCATAACTTTCTGGTTCAATAACACACATGTTACATTGAGCCATGATTTCATTGATCCATGATTTCATTGATACTTCTCCATTTCTTCGGTGTATCATCATAAGTTGGAGATCTCTCAGGCACATTCTCACTTTGAGAAACATTGTATTCTTCAAACTGAGAATTTTCATCAACCTCACAGATTTCATTAGCATTCTTATGTTCAGTGATAACTGGAAATGTCACTCCAGTATCTATATTGCAGTTCCAATCCCAAAAATAATCCTCATCAAATGTGACATCCCTTGAGAGAACAATCTTTCTTGAAATGGGATCAAACAATCTGTAGCCCTTCTCACTTGAACCATAGCCTACAAAGATACACTTGTGACTGTTTTCTTCCAGTTTATGTCTGAGATTGGAAGGTATATGCACATAGCACAATGAGCCAAATATCTTCAAATGAGCTATTCCAGGTTTTCTACCACTGTAAGCTTCAAATGGGGTTGACTTCTTCAAAGCTTTGGTAGGACACCTATTGATCAAATAGACTGCAGTATTCACTGCTTCTGCCCAAAATGCATATGGAAGGTTTTTTTCATGTAGCATTGACTTTGCCATCTCCACCACAGTCCTATTCTTTCTTTCGGACACTCCATTTTGTTGACGAGTGTAGGCCATAGTCAATTGTCTCTGAATTCCTTATCCATTACAGTATTTGTCAAACTCTGCAGAAAGGAATTCTCCTCCTCGATCACTCCTGAGACATTTAACCTTATATCCACATTGTAACTCAGTCATTGTGTAAGGTCCCGTATTTTTAGTTGTATTTGTGGTTATTATTATTATTATTTTTATATAGTTAGAATGAAGCTTAGATAAGTTTTTACATAACGCATCACGTGTGATTCATGTAGCTATGCATATTCACACCTCGCCATTACCATGACTAGGTTTTGAGTTGGAAGGATTAAGGTGGAGGTGTCATTAGTTTGCATTTATAGGACAAGTGTCTTGTAATTCATGTTTTTATTAGTAGGAGCTGTCATTTACAAATCATGCAAGCAGGAGGGGGAACCTTAATGTTAGAATGAGGACAAAAGGTGTTCTTTTCATTAGTATAGCTAGATTGCTTACTGTTGGAAGCTATATTCGAACGTGGCACACCACAGTTTATAGCTATCTCCTTGTGTATTTGCTTAGTGAGCACTCTACACAGTGACTATGTGAAGCTACTTAGTGGACGTGTCTTATCTTTTATTTCCACCTGTTATTGGTCAGCCATTTGTCTAAGTCTACTGCCTGTTTAGATTACCACGCAGCAGCTTGTAAGAGAAGGTAAATTGAATTGTTATATCTCTAGCCGCTAAGCCAACCAATAAGAAGTTAGCTTGACCTCCTCATTTCTAGTATAAATAGGAGGCCCTGCTCCATTGTTTTACATCCTGCGAAAGAATGGCAGCATGCAGTGCATGCAATAGTTTTCTATATGTGTCTATATTATATATATATATATATATATGTATATATGTATGTATGTATGTATATATGTATATATGTATGTATATATGTATGTATGTATATATGTATATATGTATGTATGTATGTATGTATATATGTATGTATGTATATATGTATAGAGAGAGATAGCGAGCTAGGGTTAGAGAGTTTGAGGTGTGTGGAGATGTTAGTTGGGTTGTCTTGCCAAAGCTTGGATTATCAAGGTGAGTGGTTTATGTAATGTGTTTAAAAGTTCTTATTTTCGATAAATGAAAACCACGAACTATTGTGGGTTTTATCTATTTATAAATCTCTATCTATTTCAAGTCAAGCATGTTGGATTTGTTGAAATGTTTTGGAGTTATTATATATCGTGATATGTGGATTATTTGGAAATGTTCATGGAGCATGAAAACTTTGGTGTTGCATTAATCCGAGGGATAAATGTAAGTTGCACACGGGGACATTAGGGCAAATGGCCATTAGGGGTCACGTGGTGAGTTACAATTTATGAAGGATATAATGGACACGTAAAGGGATGATGTGATATGGCATTATGTGTATAATTATTTGATATTATTATCCTATTTTATAGTATGATTAAAATGGCAAGCTTGACTGGCATATTATATATTCTACTCACTGAGCGACGGTGGTTGTTGCTCACTCCTCACCTATTATGTTACAGATGAGCTATTTGGCAAGTCAGATGTTATTTGGCAAGACATGTGTTAGAAGAGCTGAGGTTGTGATTGAGGAGAAGTTTAAGGATTTTAATTTATTACTTTTGTACACCCTGTAAGGATTATGGAGTTATTTTAATAAGAGGATTTCATTTTTCAACCCGTGTCGATTTCCTTTTATTTATTTTTACTTTTACTCGCGTTTCGGGCGCGGGGTCTTATTTTACTACCGACCCCGGGTTTGGGGCGTGACACATTGCCTTGAACTTTTTGAAACATTCAAACGCTTCAGACTTGTTTCTCAAAAAATACACCCATGACATCCTTGTGCAGTCATCTGTAAACAACAAAAAATATTTGTTTCCAGAATGAGACTCTACTTGCATTGGACCACAGATATCTGTATGAATCAACTCCAGTGGATCTTTAGCTCTCCAAGTCGATTGAGAAGGGAATGAGTCTCTGTGTTGTTTACCCAACATGCAACCTTCACACACACTTTGGGACATTTCTAGTTTAGGTAATCCATGCACCAACCCCTGTTCTTCAAGTACCTTGAGACTTCTCTCACAAATGACCCAACCTCTTATGCCATATCTGAGAACAATGTGTGATACCTGCTCTTAGTGCATACTGTGTTGCAGACAACATTGTCAAAGGAAAACATCGATTGTTGGTCATATGTACCCTCACTACTAAATTATCCAGTGACCATCCATAAAAAATATTCACTACATCACCTCCAAACAACAAATAATAACCGTTTTCCATCATTTGTCCAACACTTAGAAGGTTTTCCTCAAGTCCAGGAACAAGTATTACTTCTTGTATATGTTTTCTTCCCAATTTAGTTTCAATCACCAAGGTTCCCTTTCCTGCCACTTGACAAATTTCTCCAGTTCCCATCTTTACTTTGGAGGTCAAATCTCTCTGAACATTGACCAATAATCTCTCATCTCCTGTCATGTGGTTACTACAACCACTATCAATGTACCATGAGTTATTGACTTGCACATCGGTCACTGCATTGCAGGCATAAAACAGTGATCCTATTTCTCCCATTTGCTTCACATAATTAACTTTCTGCACTCCTTTATTCTCATGACAGTCTCTCATAGAATGACCTGGCTTACCACAGCCTGTGCACTTTGGTTTACCTTCATACCAACACTTCCCATAGTGCAACCTGTCACACCACTTACAATCACCCTGAACATTGTTTTGCTTCTGGACATAATTAGGCCTATGATCCCAATTCCTTTGAGTATTGTTCTGTCTCTGAGGATAATTGGGTTTGTGATCCCAATTCCTTTGAGTATTACTCTGCTTTTTAACATGGTTTGGTTTATAATCCCAATTTTTTCCCCTTGATTTCCAACTCTCTTGAGAATTTTGATTCCCAGAAAATCCACCACTTTTGACACCCTTAGATGCTACATTTAAACTTGCAAATGCCCTCTCAGTCGAAGACTCAGTGTGTAAATCAAGCCTCTGTTCGAATCCTTTTAGAGAGGCTACCACCTCTTGAACCTCAATAATTTCAAGATCTCTAGAATGCTCAATTACAGAACAAATTGTATCATATGTTTTCGGAAGACTAATAAGTAATTTCTGCACAATTCTCTCCCTAGATAGTTATTTTCCATAACTTTTCATTTGATTCATGATATCAAACAATCTAGAGAGATACACAGATAATGATTCACTATCCTTCATACGAGTATATTCAAAATCTCTACGTAAACCTTGCAATTTTACATTTCTTACTTGTTTATCTCCTCGGAATTCACCCTTTAGAACATCCCAAGCTCCTTTGGATGTCTCTTCATTCACGATTCTGGGAAAGATCTGATCCGATACTGCACCTTGTATCATTCCAAGCGCACGAGCATCCTTCATCAGGATCTCACTGAACGACACTCCATCCGTCGTCTCCTTCTTCGTCTCATCGACCACAGCTTTCTCAGACTTCGGATCTGGTGGTTCAAACCCATTTTCTACCAGCTCCCACAAACCATACGATTTCAGTATAGTTGTCATACGAATCCTCCAAAATTCATAGTTCTCTCCATTGAAGACGTGAGCTCTAAGCTCGACATTGCCGGACCCAGCCATATGAGACTTGGATACACGAAATCACAATTTCCAGATTCGATTGAAGCTCAAAGATGTAGCTCAATCGCACAGATTTCACGCCCAGATTAGACGATGAAACCAGGCTCTGAGGCCATGTTAATGTTTGTGTGTGTTTTCAATATGTGTTTCAATGGAGGTTGTCTTCAAAGATGGAGAGAGTTTTTGGAGAGAGGAAGCTGCAAAGATGTCTCTTCAAATTTTCATTCACATTTCACACAATACAATCTAACCGTTATATGAAGAAGGAAGGAAGATCCTTCACTCTTCAACATACAATACAATCTTAGCCATTCATTGCTATCATCCTATGAGATGATGCTTATTCTATTACTTAGGCTAGATACAAGATTAAAGTGCCATGTGGACTATGATCCAATGGCTCACATTCAAACAGAAACAAAACATAGAGACATGATTCTTGCTGCCAAGCTTCAGCTAAAGGGTTATACACCAACAATTCCATCAACACATCGTCGTTATCTCACAAGAACCACCCGTATCCGCCAGGCTCTACCTTCCAACCAAAGCCACCGCCACCAACAAACTCCCTCTTCTCGTTTACTTCCACGGTGGAGGCTTCTGCATTGAAAGTTCCTCCTCCCCCATGTATCACAACTACCTCAACTCCTTGGCCTCCGCAGCCAATGTTGTCGCAGTCTCTGTTAATTACCGGCTTCACCCCGAGTACCCTCTGCCGGCTGCCTACGATGATTGGTGGGCTGCTGTCAAATGGGTTGCTTCTGTTAGTAAAGAGTCCTCCAAGTCTATACCCTTGTCATAATCCCCATTATTATCTTCTGTATATTATCACTTTATCTTATAGATTTGTAATCCCGTTAGGATTTGTATTGGGAGCTGCACAATCCCTTTAGGACTCTCTGTAAACTTGTATATTTATACCTGATTATGAGTAATGGCAAAGTAAGACTTCCACCAATATTACTGCTTCATGTTTGCTGTGCTCTTTCTCTGAATATATATTTCTACAGATTCCCATGTCTATGGAAACGGTTCAGAAGATTGGTTAAACCTCCTTGCGGATTTTCATCGTGTTTTCTCGGCCGGCGACAGTGCTGGGGCTAATATAGCATACCAGATGGGATTGAGAGTAGGCTCTGAGGGCTTGGTTGGTGGTGCTAAGCTGATTGGGGTTGTTTTGATCCATCCATATTTCTGGGGGACAGAGCCAGTTAGGGCGGATGAGCTGTCCACGCCTGCACGTATAAGAGAATAATTGCTGGTTTTTGTTGCAGAGAAAGGTGGGTTGAGAGATGGGGGGTGGTATTATGGTGAGATACTGAGAAAGAGTGGGTGGAGTGGGGTTGTGGAGGTGGTGGAAGCAAAGGGGGAGGAGCATGTTTTCCATTTGTTTAAGCCAAGTTCTGAGAATGCTGTGGCCAAGGAGAAAAAGATTGCATATTTCTTGAATTAGAAAAGTGTACTAGGTAATCTGACCATTGCCTTTATGGCAGGTTGGTATGGTTTACTTTCCATTGGTGCAAGAATTTTTACTTTTTTCCTATATTTTACTAGGTTTATTTATGTTTCGTGGATTATAAACTGTGATGCATGGACACGGACACGGATACGGGAATATGACATGATACTGGGATACGTTAAATTTCTAAAAATGAAGACACGATATGACAAGGATACGGCAATTAAAAATAATATAAATAAATAAATATATGTAAATATTATAAAATAAGCATTCAATTATACTATTCAAGTTCAAATTTATTTCAATAAACTTCAAACATTTAAAAAGATAATCCACTAAACAACTAAATTAGTCTTCAAACTTGAAAAACTAAAAAGAACATCCAAATGACCAAAAATATAAAAACGAAAGAGTCCCTCATTCTCGAACTAGCTTTTTTCCTAAATTATCAACATGTAAATCTTAAGAATCAATCCAAAGTAGTCGTATAAAAGGTTACAAGTCAAATTTATGTTAAGAGATCAACAAAGCAACATAAAACATATATAAATATATTATAATCTAAATCATTCTAAACCACTAACAATAATATTATTATAATATGCAAAAACAGAAAAACAAAAGAAGCTTTTCGTTTGGTTTCAGAAAAGCAAAAGGGACTGTAATCAGTAAATCTAACAAAAAGAAAAAGAAAGCTTCAAGAAAGCATGGAATCTGAAACCCAGTTACCAGCTCTCGCCAGTAGATGCATAAGATATGATGCAGCAGTAGCAAACGGAGACGACAGAAGCAGTTGCCGAAGACAGTTCTGATGTTCGAGTGAGGAAAAACAGGTAGATCTGAATTTTATACACAAAATCGTTTCGATTTTTTGTCACAGAATCGTTTCGGTTCAGCTAATCTCAATCAACTGTCAACTATCACAATTCTGTGCGGATTAAGAGTAATTATCTTGAATTTTTTTTTTTGTGATTATCCTCTGATTAAAATTTAAAACTTATCCGAAAGGTAGGATACTCGTATCTCAACAGTAAGATACGCGTATCCCATTAGTCAACAACGTATCTGTTGACTCAGAACTTATCGATTGCGTATCCGCACGTATCGCCCTCGTATCCGTATTCCCGCGTATCAAATACAGGATACGTTGGTCTTCTCCCGTGTCCATGCATCATAGATTATAAATTGTGATCTTAAAATATGAACAATTTTTCTTTTCTGCAAAATCAACAATGCAAATCCATTGTATGCCTAATTTTTGGATGCTTAGGTGTGTTATTAGTATTCTTAGGGGTAGGTTTGTTTTCAAAAGAAAATTCACCTACTAGTGTTTCGGCCTAAAATACAAGTTTGGGTCAAGAGCAAGTAAAGCGCAATGGAAGGCCTGGTATTTATCCCAGCATCGGTTTGGTTAGTTCAAGGTGTTCTAGTCCAAGACAACGATAGCCTAGCCAAGTCCTTATGATTGAAGGACAGTTGAGGGATTAAATTTGAGCAGGGTTTGGGTGAGTCCTACATGGAATTAAACTGTTAAGGATTGGGAATCGATTCTGATAAGTTTGGGGCTGTGATCAAAATTCATGGTTATCAAATAAGAAGAAATTAAGTTAAGAAAAGACTAGGTTCAGAGTCCTTGCTTGAATGGAAAATCTGAGACTAGATGTGTGTTAAGTTTCAACTAAGGAAGAAAAGGTTGGTACTCAGGGGAAATGCCGAGGAGGCTAAGTCCTATCAAAATTATGCCTCAGCAAACCACATGGCCTATAAAATGGAAGAGGCTTCACAACGAAAAAAGAACCTTCAACTCAACACACAAATCAACTCTTTACGCAAAACCCTCTCACCCTAAGAAAACATTAACTCCTTCCCTTGCCAAATATTCAGTTTTGTGAAATATCATGTCAACAACCAGCACCACCTTCAGTTTGGTTGTTAAGACCTAGAATTTAAAGTTATTATTTTTAATTTCAAAAAGGAAATAGTTTCAGCCCATTTTGTTTTACACTTTGCCCAACCTTTTACATAGGGCATATTGTTATAACTCAGCAAACAAAAGACAAAGACTGTCTCTCTAATCTTCGATTCTGCAATGAGAGATTCTTTCTTCCCTTCTTGTAATTTGTTCTTATCCTTTCCTAATAATCTTTTTTCCAATACTTTATTTTGCTGACTAATGTAGGCTATGTAACTAGGAGGTGGAGGAGCTATGGGTTTGGTGGAGAGTATATGGATGCAGGTGGCTATCCATGGTGGTTTGAGATTGCTCTTTAAGCAGTCTATATAGCTGAGTAATCTAAGCTATGAAGCAGGTGGTGGAAGGTCTAGGCTTAGGTTCCTATCATGATCATTTTCTCTATAAATAGTTGCACTTCGAATAGGAAATTTCATAGTAAGTATTCGTTCACTTAATAGAGAGAATTTGAGTGAGAACCCTGAAGAAGAAAGAAACAGGTTTAAGTTTGCAGAGGAAGGCTTAAGGGTAAGATCTTTCTAACTTTTGGGTGTCTTGAGTAATTCTTTCCAATTTGATTTACCATGTTTATATTCTCTATTCTGATATGAAAACAAACCCTTTCAGTACCTATTTCATGTTTTTATCATCATCTTGTTAGAAGCTCTGGCCAAAATCAAAAGAATTTAAGTTTCAAAGTGTACATAATTTTCTTGGTACAGATTTCAGAACTTTTAGTTTCGTGGTCCTTTCTTTCGTCCCTATTTTCTTTCACTACAAAGCTTCTTTTCAAATTATTGTCCAATAGAATTATAGAGGGAATCTGTTGACCCTAAAAACTACCAAGCCTACATGGCGCGCATGCCAAGTAACTAATGAACTAACTATATCCTTCGGTTGTATGCGGGCGTGCCAACTCGTCGGCCGAGCTCGGCCGAGGAGTAAAATATGTTAATGTTGCGTCGGATGCGCTGCTGACTTCTCGATCTTGCGATTGCAACCGAGGAAGGAACACGTCTTGGCTTTCGGGTTCTAGAGCCTGAAAACAAGGCTGCTAGTTGTACGAAGTTCACAAATCGTCGGTGTCAGATTCGGTCACCAGTGGCGAAGCCACGTGAGGGCGAGGAGTGGCGGCCGCCACTCCCCTCGCCGGAAATGAAGCCCAGGAGCGAGTACCCGCCCCTCCTCTCGCCGGAAATGAATCCATGTTTTTTGCTGCAGCTGCACAAACGCTGCGCGTGCAGCGGCGAAGCTGTTAAGGCCCGGGAGGGGTCCGCCCCTCCTCTCACAGGAAAACATGCCCATAAATCATGGTTTGCTGCCCCATAGCACCTCTGGTTTCGCCGGATTGCAGCTCACAATTGCTACAACTGCAGCAGTTCTTCATGGCTGCGCAGGGAAGGGAAAACTTGAAAAAAAAACATTTAATATTAAAATAAGTGAAACGGTGTGTTTGGGCATTTGGGCTTAATTTGAAAAACAAATATTAAAATATGATGGAAGGACCACTTGTCCCCATTACCTCTCGGCTTCCTCCCCCAAAGTTTTCCTTTTTTTATGCATGTATGTATAATGGACCTGTTGGGCAATGCCATTGGAATGGCTAAAGAGCACTTTTAGTTACATCTCCCATAAAAATTTATATCTTTCTAAGGGATGATTTGGAAGTGAGGTGCTTAAAAAAAAGCACCCATGACAAAAAGCTGTGAGGGTTTTAGGTGTTTGGTAAACTGAAAAAAAGGCTTATTTTGGAAGCTGCTGTGAGAATAAGCTGAAATCAAAGGAAAAAGCTGAAGCTGCTATTTGCAGCTTTGGAAAACTGGTTTTTTTTCAAAGCACACGGAGCTACAGTGCACCTTGAATGAAAAGACCCACTATCAGACTGCTTTTTTTTCCAAAAGCACTTTTACAAAAAAGTTTACCAAACACTCTGCTGATTTATTTCACAGCCGCTTATTCTCACAGCAGTTTCTTTTCAAAGCACAGCAATACCAAACCAGCCTTAAGTTCTCGAAGTGCTTTTTGTCAGATTATTCTTCAGGAAGTTGTTCACGAAGAAGCATTTAGATATTGAATAAACTAATGAATGCACTTTTAGGCTTTTAGCGTAAACACACTTATAAATGAGCATAACTACTTTTTACATAGTTCAATCACCAACAAGTCGTATATCGCTAGACTTATGTTGACAAATTAAATCCAAATCAAACGTTTAAAAAGAATCAACTTAATCAATGATCTAAATTTAAATTATGACAACACATTTTTTTGTGGTTTGTTAACCCATTTCTCTGTTCTCTTTTCTTTTTTTTATTTATTATTCTTGTATGTATTTTTTTCCCTCTTTTTAAAACCCCAGCATATTTATCTTAAACTCTCACATTATCTATAAATGCTGTATTAATTTTTAAAAAATAATGTAAATATCGTGTAATGCTTATTTTACAATAAAAGACATTTAAATCCATCTAGGCTCCTACCTAAATCTCGCCTAGGCGCCTAATTGGTAGGCCCCAGTCCGCTGCCTGACTAGCGCCTAATGTTTTTTAGAATCTAATTCTTACCAATTTAAGCTTCTTACATGGCTTTGATCTTACCGTTTACAACCGATTTGGTGGATAGACTGTTTTCTGTTATGAATATTGATTCAAAACTTTGCCCTCTCCAATGTGAAGGCAACCGTTTCGATTGAACCTTGCACTCTTTTGAATTTCGCCCCTCCTCTCGGCAAATCCTGGCTTCGCCACTGTCGGTCACAATGATTATATTCGTAAGAGTATAAGCACACCGAATTGAGACTAGACTATATGGACACAAATATTCAAAACAAATGTACGTCTTAATCGTAAATGTGGTTCGGCCGTCAAAATGCCGAACTCTAAACCCAACTTGTGAGTATCCAATCATAAAACCACTTTCCGTTTAATGCGTCGAGTCTAGTGATTCGTAACGCCTCACTTTGCTGAGAGGCTCGTGAGATGACCTCTGCCAAAAAGGATTCGAAAACCATTCTCGACCAAGACTTAGATAGATAACCAGTCGGTCTTGAAGCAGTGTTATTTATCCAAATTGAAGGTGCTTCGCGGTCGGCTGATTCTACGACGGCAGTGCTGTTTATCCAAACTGAAGATGTTCACCAATTGCCTTCACAGTGCTGTTTATCCAAACTGAAGATGTGTTGGCGAAAAAGAAACTAAAAATCTCAAGGTTGTTGAGAAGTTTCGTGTAGAGCAAGGGTTTACGCAGGGCAATTTGTGTGTTGAGTTGGAAAGGCCTGAATGTGTGTTCATCCTCTGTATTTATAGTAGCGAACCTACTTCCGGCCGAGTTAGAACCTTACCCGAACTAGGACTCCTCATCCTGATCTAACTAAGACTCGGCCAATCATACTTTAATTAGGACTTTGAACACATCTCCACAATGATCCAGATTCTTTATGTGTTCCTTATTACCGTTAGCTTTAACACTCTTAGGGGTTCAAGGATTCATCTAAATCAATCCTTCTCACAAAGAGACTCGATCAACAAACGTCTTGATAACTCCCAGTACCCAGTCGGCCCATGATCCCCCTTACGACCACTGGATCAAGAGTCTCGGCCCATTTGTTACCTTCAGCCCAAAATAATGTTTTGGACATAAACATTGCCCCTCATTTTTGAGGTCTTTGGCTCAAAATTCCTTTAGCCGAATTTCAACCTTGAAGAAGTGAAACCAAACCAGGGTATATTTTCTAAAACAATTCGAATATCCCATCTATCCGGCGCAATTATGAAGCATGATTGCACGATCTTAATTTTGTCAAACACCCTGCCATGTGGCAACTTCCTAGCATACTTGTCCTTACTTGACACTAAAACACCTATCCTTCCACACACCATCATTACAACCTTGATTTGCGAAATTGTAATCTACGTGCAGATACCCAAACGTCTCTTCATCATTAAACTTGCCACAACAGGCTATCGTGCAACCTCGATCTGCGAATTTCTCGGTCTGTTTGAATCGTGCACAAAATCAAGCGTCTCTTCATCATTGAATCCGTCGTCACATGTCATCGTGTAGCCTCGATCTGCGGATTTCTTGGCCTCTTCATATGGGTTTCCCGAATCTCCATAATGATTGTTAAACTATCCGACTAGTCTTATCCTTTATTCGAAACTTTAAACCGTTGGGTTTTCAGCCCAAAACCCTATAAATACTCGTCTCTTCTTCGTTCAAACTCTACAGTTCATTAACTCCCGAACCTCTTTTGCTTCTGGCTTTTGAGTTCCTAGAAAACCCAGACAACTCTCAACCTAGAAATTATTCGATTCGTCATCAATGGCTTTCTTCATTTCCAAGCTTTCTGACGAATGCAACAAATGCCAAGGCTTCATCGATCGAAGCGCCATCAAAACTCTGCGCTTCGAAGGTGATTTGACCGCCTCTTACCAGATCTTGGGGCCACTTTTCAGGAATGTTGTACCATCGTCCATCACCATTATCTTCAAGGATCATTGCCTGACACCCTTGTTGCAAGGGTTCGATTGGTCAAAATGGGACCTAACCAAGCCCCAAGGAGACTGGCCCTCAACCACCATAACTTGAGTAACTTGGTTCGAAAGAATGGAAAAAATTTTCAATAAAGAATGGAAGACTTTTGGCATCTATGATATCATTAAACTCTTGACCGTGGAAATCGTCATGGACAAAGAACTTCTTATGGTAGCTTTGTGCTTTTGGTGCTCAGCCACCAACATCATGATCCTTCCCTTCGGTCCTATCGGCCCCATCATCCTCGATGTCTCAGCTATCCTTGGGACCTCTCCTTCTGGCCTCTCTGTTGATGCCGCCCTTCTTAGGCAGAAGTCTATTCTTGACCTCAAAGCTCTATTCGACGAGCAGGCTGTCGAAGTGCTGAGTAAAGAGGGTCAAGAACCCTCAAGAGAAAAAATTCAAAAATTACACAAGAATTTGTTCAACTAAAACACTCTCATCCTCCATTTCACTGGCCAAGGAGAAGAAAACATTCGAAAGGGTGAGCATGAAGCCTCCTATTCTACTAGTACAACAAATTTGTTGTACCAAATCGAATAAGTGTTTGGTCAAGAATATGCCGATTGCTGAAACCCTGGCAAATGGTCACACATTGGCCCTCAGTTCGGCCATTCTTGCCAACCTCCTACGCTGCTTGGCCGAGACAACTATCAACAAAATTGATCCGCACCATAATGGTCCCCTCTAGGTTTTCTAACTTTAGCTGCAGGTTTATTTTGCAACTCTTTAACCAGAGATCCCCAGCTTTCAACCCACTGAAGTGCTCAGCCCTCAGTTAGCGTCTCGACCGGGGCTTCCTCACTAGGCTGAAGAAGTCTTCAAATACTTCTTCGGCCTAGAAGACCTCTCTGACAACGAGTTTATGATATGTCGTCGTCAAGAATACCCCCCTTCCATCAAGCTTCCATCATCAGCATGGAGTGAAGCTGAAGATGCTAATCTTCGTCAAAATTGGGGGTCGTTCATGTTACACAAGACTTTCCCTTCGGCTGCGATACTCGTCGAGTGAGTTGGGAAGTATACCATCCTCATTTCATTGCTCGGTA